ATTTAAAAGGAAACAAACTTGTGCTTCTAATTGTTTTAAAGTGCAGCATGTATTCAGTAGAGGCGCAGCTAGAGTTGGGGGCATTAGATTGTCAAGGGCACTGGTTCCAACTGGGGAGCTTTGCGGTTCCAGTTCACGCAGGCTGTATGTACATCAGTGTGGCAATGCCGTGTATTCTTCCTGAGTGTGGGCTGCATCTAACACTTCCAGTTTTTAAGAGGAGGTAGATACAGTTTGTAGGGCATGGTAGTCTTCCCTCACCTTAACTCTGCCCTCTGGATCTTGCAGGGTATTCTCCGAGTATTTCAGCCAGGGCTTCTGTTCAATAAGCAGATGAGGGAGAAGCTTGTGTGTATATGGAGTTATTCACCAATTGTTTATATAGGTAACACCTACATAAACTCCAGATGTTGACAGTCTATTTTAAAACAAAAGCACCCTGTTCCTGGCTAACCTAGCCTCTTCTACAAGTTCTGGAAGACCTTGAGACATAACTCCTTAGCTTTAACCAAGCCCAACTGCTTCTAGTTGCTCAGAAATGGAAAAGGAGAGTGACTTACATGGTCATAATGCAAACAGCAAACTCTGAGTATACATGCGGATTTTACAGTGTGTTGCTGTATCTGTGTAGCTGTGCTCCCAGGGTAGCACCTCCCCTGCAGGAGCCTGCAGAAAGTGGACACAGAGCACTGAACGTGCCCCGCACAAGTTCTCAAGAAGCTGCTAAAGACAAAACTTGAATTCACAGTAGACAGATGTGCTGCCCAAATTCAGCGGCCTGAGTGAGTCACCATGAGCTACTCACTCAAACTGAAATCGGTGTAGCTGCAACATGTGCAAGCATGTCCCCATCTGGCCAGGTCTGTTGTAGGAGTGGGAGCCCCCAGCACGAGATTGAGCATGAGTATCCCCATATACTGCTGTGGCAAAGCGCTCCTGGTATGGTCAACGCTAACTAATATTGTCAACTGCCAGAGCTTACTTCAGCCTCAAGCTTGTTGTACAGGCCCTCCAGATTAAAACAGCTTTGCCAGTATGACTGTCTTTCTAAAACGGCTTTTGTCAGCAAAATTTTATCAGGTGAGGATTTGCTCTTCTCCCAATCACTAACACTCCAGTTATATTGTTATACTATGTTGGCGGGTCCGTGTCTCCTAAATTTAGGAGTTTCAACTTGTAACCTGAATAACCTTTTCAAAGATTGTTTCCTCAAAGCAGTAATACCCTAGACTCTAGATGAGAACAGACTTGAGTAGATTATGAGAGTTCAGGGCGAGTGATGGCTATAATTTGGGACCTATGTTCTCAGAGAAGTAATAGAAGACAAATTCTCTTTTATGTCTCTAGGTTGGTTGTAAGAATTTTTCTTGAAGCATCTTTTTTTTTTTTTTTTTTTTTTTCAAAAATCTGAAATTTGTACCATTTTCCCTGCTTGAATCCTTACCAGTGCAATTTTTGAAACATTCTAAACAAGGATGCAGATTTTTTTATTGCCTAAAAATTATCTGTTAAACAGTGTATCTCTGTAGCAAGAATGGGAGAAGCCTGCTTTGGCTCTAATTTTGTTGTACAATGCTATTAATTTGCAACTTCAGGGTGACCTGGACATGAGTGGACTTGTATGGTTTGGGTTTTTTTGTTCCTTCCCCCCCCATGTTCTGTAGAAAAATAAGCATCAATTTCGAAGTGTTAGAAAGAGCAGCTTGCTTTGGAAGTTGGCAGACTCTGATACAAACGATCTTTGCTTCGAGCTTCCTAAAGAGACATAATTTCTACTCTGTCTAAAAAGAGGAGGCTGGCTTGTTTGTTTTTATTTGCAGCATTCAGCAGCATTGCTGTAGGCCACTAACTGCAGGATGGCAGTAACACAGGATTATCCTGCAGAGCCGTAACTAGTGAATCCATAACAGCCAACCTGAACTCTGCTGCGGGCTGCCATTTAATACCACAAGAAACTGTTTGCATTTCATCGTGTAACCGGTTGTGTGAATTCAAGAACCTTCCCTGGATCAGGCTGTGTTTTCAGATGAAAGAAAGGAACTACCAAATGGTAGAGTGAAATATATAGTTTGTTTTTCTGTAGGCCTGTCCTCTAAGCATAAACAAATATGCTGTAGTGAAGACTCTGGCTCAGGCTACAGAAAAGAAACTGAGTAGCGAAGAGATGGGGAAGTAGCAATATAAGAGGGAGAAAGGTTGGGGCTGCCTTTTCTCGTGAGATAGATTTCTTGATATCAAAGGCAGTAGGAATAGGCTCCAAATTAAATGGGACAGTGAAAAGTACCTTCATAGTGTCAGCTGAAGGGAAAAATCACTCTCCTGATCCTAAAACCTTTCTGTCTGAAATTCCCATGGGAGTGGGTATAGAATTGAGCCCATTTGTGACTTTCCCCTCAGGCCCTGTTAGATGGGCTTTTATTCAATGTGATTTCAGTCCCGATCATAATAAAGTTGCTCTGTTCTTCATGAAGCTCACATTATGGATGTACAGCCATCATGGCCTATGGACTGCTTAGTTTTTCCTGTAAAAACAGAAATCCTTGTACAGCTGGGAGCTTGGGAAAACAAGCCTGAAGCTACCAGAATTTTTAGCTTTACAGTATAAACGAGAAACTAAATTCTCCACTGCAAAACATACATGCACCTATATACGCTCAAGGTTTTGACAATGAGACTCATTCATGCAGAAGACGACACTTTCCAGGTGAATATTTCCTTGTTCTGGCGGCACACACCAATGAATGTAATTAAAGAGTGTTTATGGAACGTTTGAGACTATGCTGCTGGGAATCCTGAATAGATGGGAGAGTAGGATCGTGTGTGTTTGTGGTGTTCCTAGATGAGCGAGGTGATCTGCAGGCCAAGTGAGAGGTGAGGTTCTGAAAACGAAAGCTTTTTCAAGCCAGAGTTTAGGGTCTAAAGGGAGTGACAGGCGTGCCATTTTATCTTGCATTACGGTTGCCCTGGAGTTTGCAAAGATTATTACTGCTGGTAGCCAGTGCTGCGCCGCTCATCAGCACCTCCGCGCTCGAGCCCTGCCTTCGGGTGTCTTTTAAAAAGGGAGCGAAACGGGCACCGGAGATGGGCACCGCCGCGCTGCTCTGCCCGCGGGCACAGCGAGCTCCCGCGCGTAGGGAGCGCAGGAGCCCACCTCTCTCTTCCAGCCTTTTAACAGATTAAATCTGATGAATGTTCATTGAGGACAGAATATTTTACTTCCCGAAGTACCTTTTGTTAATTCTTGTGAGCGCCGGGGTGTAGGACAGTCCCTCACATGCCGGGTTTACATGTAACCTTATCCTCCTGTGGTTGTCATCGGACTAAATACTCCACGATCTTAAAGACTAGCAGTGTTTGGGAGAAGAAAAGAAAAAAGGGAAGAAACTAGAACTACTTGAAACGGTAGCACGGTGACTGCCCTGTCCCTGCTGCTTCGGTGGCTGTGCCGAGGAAGGGAAAGGCGCGCCGGGACC